ACTGGAGAAGAGGAATGACCCTGTAAGTCATTCCCTTTAAGTGTTGTTTGTTGGCAAAATCAAGCAGGCGAAAAATCTGAACTCTGTGATGGAACGGTTCCTCTTGTAAATGATTCAAGGAAATTATTCAATAAAAGCTTGTAATGCTCCATTCTTTGCCAAATTGGTTCAGACAAGATGACATAATAAGGAGAAAGGCATGATGGGATATGACTTGGGCTGTGCCAGCAAAAAGCATAACAAAATAAACACCGGTATTCGGTATGAACCGGTATACCGCCCAGCACTACTTCATAGTTAAAAATATATTATAACATGTACTTCAAAGGGCAAAAAAAAAATTAAAATCTGCTAAAATCTAATTTAAATATATGAAAATATATTTATAAATAAATAAGTATATCATATCATATCATATCATATCATAAAATAATATGTCTGACGTATGGTTTTAAGAGCTGAAAAGCAGCAGCAGGAGACTGAAGGTCTTTGGCATGCAGTGGGAAAAGTCTTGTCAGAGGTCATATTGTAGCAGCAAAGGGTTCCTTCATTAATTCAAAAGCTTGACCCCCGGGGTTACGAGCAACGACTCATGAACTATACAACCTGACACCGATGTGCACTACCACAGCTTGGCAGTAATGCATTTACTAAGCTAGATAAAGCATGCAAAATACATCACAATTTTATCACATCAAATGAAATCACAGCTTTTAGCATTTGTTAAATGTTATACAAGCTACTGTATGTTACTGCATTTCTGCAGTGTTTTGTTTTGCTGCTCAGAGGTTGCTCTTTTATAGCTCAGGAGAAGAGACTAACTGTTTAAACCTAATTAAGTTTTCAGTTCATTCAGTTTCAGTAAAATATCAAATTTGTCTTTGATCATTCTAGGGAGAAATGCAAATACAAACAAACGAGCCAATTGTTGATGTACAGTACAGAGCTCTAACGCTGTGAATAAAATAACATGGTTTAGATCATTCGATCAGAAATATCTGAGCTCACACTGAGATCTATGAGATTATTAGAGCCTTTCCTCTGTAGAAAATCTTCCGAAGCAGTAGACTTATAGTAGGCAAAGGTAAAAAAACGAATAACGTCGACTGTGTCGTTTTAAACACAGTGCGATATAATAAGAACATGCATTTGTCATATTTTGCTTAATGCAATAAACTACATTTCTTAGTGCCAACAAAACCAATACTGTCACAAAGATGAAACACTTGATTTGCAAGACAAGTTGTTGATTTGTATAATAGCTGCTGGCTGATAATAAGGTTTAGTTGAGGGAATTTTAAGCAGTAAAAGCCTAATTATCTTCTGCTCACCAAGACTGCATTAATTTGATTTAAAAAATCAGTCAAAAGTAGAATAGAAAGCTAGAGTTTTTTTTTTTTTTTTTTTTTTAAAAAAAAAAAAAAAAAAAAAAAAAAAAAAAAAAAAAAAAAAAACAGTAATATGAAATATTATTACAATTAAAATGAATATTAATATTAAACATTAAAGGGGTCATATGATGTGATTTCAATTTTTCCTTCACTCCGGCCAGGACACGGCATCAACAGTATGTGAGGGGCGTAACATTTCCGTCTCACGCTTGAGGTATTCGGCCAATCACAACGCATTGGATAGCTGGCCAATCACAGCACACCTCGCTTTTTCAGACCGATGAGCTTTGTAAAAATCGACGCGTTTCAAAAAGGCGGGGCATAGAGGAGAAACAATAATGTACAGTATGTGGAAAATAATGTGTTTTTTAAACTTTAAACCGCATAAACATTTCATTACACCAAATACACAAAATAATGTTCCTTTTAGCAGCCTCATATGACCCCTTTAACATTAAAAAAAATTGAAATAAACAGTGAAATATTATTACAATTTTCTAGTTTAATATACTTGTTATTTCTTTGATGGTAAAGAAAGTTTAAAAGAACAGCATTTATTTTAGATGTTACAAATCTTTTGCAACATTATAAATGGCTTCTACTGTCAATTTTCAATCAGTTTAATGCATCCTGGCTGAAAAAAAGTATTAATTTCTTAAAAGACCCTACTGACTGTGTGAACAGTAGCGTACATAATAATGCTTTTGCCCACCCCCCAAAATCCCAGTTTAACCTCTTGTGGTGGCTCCCCATGTGGGTTGAGTTCCAAGGAAATGCTAACTCATTTCCACGAAACACATCAGATATATTCACTGCAAGCTCATTTTGTTCTTACTCTAAAAAAAAATATGCTTTTACTGAACGCACATAATTGGCTCTGATTTGCAAAGCATGAGCCTAATTGCAGTCCTGGTGAGGCAGGTGATGGAAATAGCTCCTGAAATTGACTTCAAAAGAACTTGTTGTCTTTTCTTCCGTAGATATGACTGAATTCAGACTGCTAATTTAACTTACAGTGAAACGGCGCAAGGTTTCCTTTAACCCCCCCTCTCTTTCTCAGTAAGCAGGATTCGCCATGCTCTCTGGCCAATGTTGCGGTCGGTGTTTGACATAATGCATGAATAACATTTTCATGAAATTTTCAGAGAGGTGTATCTATAATTCACACGCCCTTTCTTAGCTAGTGCTGATTAGAGAGAGATGCTCGAATCACTGCTGGGAACTGCTCGCCGCATCTCTGATGCACATCATTTACTATTCAGAACATTTTCATAGAGATCCTCGTTCCAGACATTCTTGTCTAAAACGCCAAACCGAGGCTGACCTTGTTGCACTGCTTCCTCTAATTAATGCTCATTCAAGACTTTCATGCCAAACACATTTAGCTCAGTTCGTCTAAAAATACTCAGCCCACCACATTCAAAACAAATTTGCAAATCATATTCCCCAGATTGCAAGATTGTTTGCTGTTTAGTGACTGATTGAAGAGTGATTTTATATACAGGCAATGAAAAGATCAAAATTTTATTTGCTTCAAATTTACAGATATTACACAGATGTTATAAACACAAAATCTCATACACAAAAACTTCAGTCCGACACTTTATGACTTAATATACGCAGTTTATGAAAGTATATGCATGCTGTATTATTAAAACCAAACTCTCCAAAAGAACTTTATTGCTTTGAGGTCAAAACAGAAGATTAAGAATTCTATTATATTTCGTTATCGACTTTGTCTCAGATGCCTCTTTTAAAATTTCTCAGGGGAAATCATAAAAAATAGATATAAATGGGACAACTGCTAATAGTAATATCTAGCATAGCTCAGACAGTTTGGTCTTGAAAGTTCAAATCTAATGAATGATTGCAGACTTTGGTAATCTGAGCACTTATTACGATGTCTTTTGAAACTCTAGAGGAGACTTCAGATGAGAAATGTCTCAAAGGAGGAAACTTTAGCAACACTCTCCATTTGCACTGCTTTTATTCTCTGTCCACAGTCTAGGTGAAACAACTGAGATATTCGAGATCTCATTTGAGATATTTCTTTCCTTATGCTTTGGTTATTAAAATTTAAAGGTACTGTAAGCAATGTTTTTAATAACACATACAAAATGTACTTAATACTGTATCTGACAGATCTCACTGATATACGTGTCCTGAGAAATAACACCTGTCACTGTGAAAGCCTTATAGTCTTTGCAAAGAGCACTTTTAGCCAAAGAGAAACAACTTCGGTCTGCGAATGATTTGCACTGTCTGGTTTTCTGATTATTTAACACCTTTAAATTTTTAAGGAATAGTTCACAACCAAATTAAAATTTTCTACAAATGTACTGCCTCTCAGACCATCCAAGATGCATATTAGTTTGTTTGTTAAAGTTGGAGAAATTTAGCATTGCGTCACTTGTGGATCCTCTGCAGTGAATGGGTGCCATCAGAATGAGAGTCCAAACAGCTGAAAAACATCACAATAATCCACACCACTCCAGTCCATCAATGAATGTCATGTGAAGTGAACAGCTGCATGTTTGTAAGAAACAAATCCATCATTAAGGTGATTTCACTTTAAACTGTTCCTTCTGGCCAAAATATGCGTCCGTCCATAATCCATAATAACACTTCCCTCAGTGAAAAAGTTCATCCACTGCTGTCCTCTTACACCAAAATCCACAACATATTTGTTTAGAACTATTTAAGACTGCTTTCGCTTGTAAACAGTGCTTGATCTGTGCATATTTCTCTCCTGAATCAGAAGAGATGTATTTTAGCCAGAAGCAACTGTTTGAAGGTAAAAACATCTTCGTGATAGATTTGTTTCGTACAAAAACACAGCTTTTCACTTCAAAAGATGTAAATTGATGGACGAGTTGTGTGGAATACTTGTGGATTATTGTGATGTTTTTTAGCTGTTTGGACTCTCATTCTGACGGCACCCATTCACTGCAGAGGCAAGTGATGTAATGCTAAATATCTTCAAATCTGTTCCAAAGAAGTAACAAACTCATCTACATCTTGGATGGCCTGAGGGTGAGCAAATTTTTTAGGGAAAAAAAATATTTTTGGGTGAACTATTCCTTTAATGCTTTCAAAAAAACCAACTCAGGTGACAACCATTGACAGAAGATCTGCTGAAATCAACAGCGCATCACAGACTTAACAAATCAACTAATCACTGAAAGTTACATCAAACTAGTTTTAGCAGTATTAGAGGCCTTTCACTCAGAATTTGTTTGCTTTTAAAAACGTAGGACACCACATATTAGTATCCAATTGCAGAAGAAGGTAGGGTCTTGAGATGCATTTTTAAGTTGCACTTCTTTTAACTTAAAAACATGATGCTTGTGTATGAAAAAGCAGTGCAACAGTCAAAGACAATTAAAAAGCCACGCATTCAGTGTGAACCAGTCCTTATGTATGTGTAAAATCCCCTCTCAGTATTTGCAGAGAACATGCATGCTGCTTTGTGCCCAATGAGAGTTCTGCACAAAAGCCCTGTTAACATTTGTCAGTATAAATGCTGAACTTTAACACCTCCGCTCAGATCAAACACTGCTAAATCTATGTTTGTAGAGACTCAGGCTTGGGAACCGAAGTTGCACGTACCTCTCAGATATCTTCTGTGACCAGGAGACGGATGCGGTTATACTGCTTGGTCCCAGCGCTTGTGACCTGGAGTGCGTGAGGGATCCTGTGGTTCAAAACAAAGCAAATACTTATAGTAGCATGCAGGATTTCAGCAGCTGAACATGACTGCATAAGAGTAACGCATTTTTTAATTTTCTGAAAAAAAAAAAAAAAAAGTGTGGGGCCTCCCTGTGCAAACTTCACTGCTTCAATGTTATAGGTCATTTATGTGTTTTTATCACGTTGCTTGTTTCTAGGGTTTTCTGGGTGGTTTCTTACTGGCCCAATTGAAAAGAGTACAGTACTGTAAGTCTCTGTGATATTAGAGTATGTAGATATGGCTCAAGTCCCTTCGATTAAGTTTTTTTCATTTCACCTGTCAAGTGAAAGCTTTATTGCTTAGAACAATTCTCAACAAGCTACAAGGTTTTGAGGTATGATTCCTGTTTGTAACACAAACAGTGCAGGTTGGGAATTGAAATAGCTATGGTTCAGGGTTTGCGGACTCTAAAAAAAAAAAAAAGGTTCTTTGGCATCTATGGTTCCACAAAGAACCATTAAGATTTAAGAACCTTTCCACTTCACAAAAATGCTATTTATAGCGGTAAAATGTTCCTTAGATTGTTAGCTCTTCAAACCAAGAAAAAATGGTTCTTTTAAGAATTGTTTACTGAAAGGTTCTTTAAGGAACCGTAAATGTTTCTTATATGGCACTATTGAAGAAAAAACTTTTGAAGCTTCATTTTAAGGGTGTACAGTATGAGTAATGATAATGCATGATGAAATTCGTTCTCCAATAGTGCACAGCTAATTTAAATTTTTCAGTGGAAGCTCAATTTGAGAAAAAAAGTGATATTTTCATTTCAATGTCTCTCTTGACCCTCATCATAAGCCTCCTCTTTCACAGTCACGCCTAATGGAAACTTCCATTGACAGCATAACTCGTGAGTAACTTGAGATATTACATCATTTCAATCATGAAGATGCTGACAAACATAAGCCTGTTTCACATCAAGGCTGGCCAAATGGAGAGTCGAGTGGAGGACGATCAATCAAAACACAGTTCTGATGTTTAATTCTGAATGTGTCGCAGGGGCTTTATCGTGGGATTAGTTGTTTGGGTGGCGGCAGCCACTGACATTTGAGGAGCATTCCAGTCATACAATATCTCGTCCACTCAGCCACTGCCCCCTGCTGCAATAAGCACTGACAGTCACGCCACACATCCTCCCCAAAACATCACTCAGATACATTAACTGAAAAAAAACAACAAAAAAAAACCTTTAGACAACATCAAACACTGAAGATGAAATGCCAAAAATCTAGGATCAAATACTCTAATTCTTTAAAAAGAAAAGAGATAAAAAACACAAACATTAAGTTACACTCTAAAAAATGCTGGGTTGTTTCAACCCAATGAACGTAGGACACCACATATTAGTATCCAATTGCAGAAGAAGGTAGGGTCTTGAGATGCATTTTTAAGTTGCACTTCTTTTAACTTAAAAACATGATGCTTGTGTATGAAAAAGCAGTGCAACAGTCAAAGACAATTAAAAAGCCACGCATTCAGTGTGAACCAGTCCTTATGTATGTGTAAAATCCCCTCTCAGTATTTGCAGAGAACATGCATGCTGCTTTGTGCCCAATGAGAGTTCTGCACAAAAGCCCTGTTAACATTTGTCAGTATAAATGCTGAACTTTAACACCTCCGCTCAGATCAAACACTGCTAAATCTATGTTTGTAGAGACTCAGGCTTGGGAACCGAAGTTGCACGTACCTCTCAGATATCTTCTGTGACCAGGAGACGGATGCGGTTATACTGCTTGGTCCCAGCGCTTGTGACCTGGAGTGCGTGAGGGATCCTGTGGTTCAAAACAAAGCAAATACTTATAGTAGCATGCAGGATTTCAGCAGCTGAACATGACTGCATAAGAGTAACGCATTTTTTAATTTTCTGAAAAAAAAAAAAAAAAAAGTGTGGTGCCTCCCTGTGCAAACTTCACTGCTTCAATGTTATAGGTCATTTATGTGTTTTTATCACGTTGCTTGTTTCTAGGGTTTTCTGGGTGGTTTCTTACTGGCCCAATTGAAAAGAGTACAGTACTGTAAGTCTCTGTGATATTAGAGTATGTAGATATGGCTCAAGTCCCTTCGATTAAGTTTTTTTCATTTCACCTGTCAAGTGAAAGCTTTATTGCTTAGAACAATTCTCAACAAGCTACAAGGTTTTGAGGTATGATTCCTGTTTGTAACACAAACAGTGCAGGTTGGGAATTGAAATAGCTATGGTTCAGGGTTTGCGGACTCTAAAAAAAAAAAAAAGGTTCTTTGGCATCTATGGTTCCACAAAGAACCATTAAGATTTAAGAACCTTTCCACTTCACAAAAATGCTATTTATAGCGGTAAAATGTTCCTTAGATTGTTAGCTCTTCAAACCAAGAAAAAATGGTTCTTTTAAGAATTGTTTACTGAAAGGTTCTTTAAGGAACCGTAAATGTTTCTTATATGGCACTATTGAAGAAAAAACTTTTGAAGCTTCATTTTAAGGGTGTACAGTATGAGTAATGATAATGCATGATGAAATTCGTTCTCCAATAGTGCACAGCTAATTTAAATTTTTCAGTGGAAGCTCAATTTGAGAAAAAAAGTGATATTTTCATTTCAATGTCTCTCTTGACCCTCATCATAAGCCTCCTCTTTCACAGTCACGCCTAATGGAAACTTCCATTGACAGCATAACTCGTGAGTAACTTGAGATATTACATCATTTCAATCATGAAGATGCTGACAAACATAAGCCTGTTTCACATCAAGGCTGGCCAAATGGAGAGTCGAGTGGAGGACGATCAATCAAAACACAGTTCTGATGTTTAATTCTGAATGTGTCGCAGGGGCTTTATCGTGGGATTAGTTGTTTGGGTGGCGGCAGCCACTGACATTTGAGGAGCATTCCAGTCATACAATATCTCGTCCACTCAGCCACTGCCCCCTGCTGCAATAAGCACTGACAGTCACGCCACACATCCTCCCCAAAACATCACTCAGATACATTAACTGAAAAAAAACAACAAAAAAAAACCTTTAGACAACATCAAACACTGAAGATGAAATGCCAAAAATCTAGGATCAAATACTCTAATTCTTTAAAAAGAAAAGAGATAAAAAACACAAACATTAAGTTACACTCTAAAAAATGCTGGGTTGTTTCAACCCAATGTTGGGTCAACTATGGACTAACCCAACTGTTGGGTTAAAAAGTTAATTTAAAAATGTAACCAAAATTTAACCCAACTCCATAGTTGACCCAACATTGGGTTGAAACAACCCAGCATTTTTTAGAGTGTACAGACATTAAAACACTTCAGTGTAAATTTATGATCCAAACAAATATGATGTTTCATGTAGGGAAATTAGAACAATTAATTTTTACATAAATATTTTACAAATATAAAAATATTTGACCATAACAGCATACATAAAACAATGCTTATATATATATATATATATACACCGTACCCACTGTATATATATATATATATATATATATATAAAATTACCATTAATTATAATTATAAAACAATGTTATATAACTATATCATTTCCATAAATTCACACTTAATACTTAGTCATGGCCTAATGGATAGAGAGTCGGACTTGTAACCCCAAGGTCACAGGTTTGAGTCTCAGGTCCTGCAGGAATTGTTGGTGGGGGGAGTGAATATCCAGCGCTCTCTCCACCCTCAATACCACAACTGAGGTGAGACCCTTGAGCAAGGCACTGAACTCCCAACTGCTCCCCGGGCGCCGCAGCATTGGCTGCCCACTGCTCTGGGTGTGTGTTCACGGTGTGTGTGTGTGTGTGTGTGTGTGTGCGCGTGTTTGTTCACTACTCACTGCTGTGTGTGTGCACTTGGATGGGTTAAACACAGAGCACAAATTCCAAGTGTGGGACACCATACTTGGCCACATGTCCTTTCCTTTCCATTCCTTACTTTGTACTACAATATTTTAAAGCAAAATTGTCTTTTAACATATTTCAGCATTTTTCTGTATAGGGTAAGGTAACTGAACTAGTTAACAGGTTTTTACTGTAGCATTTTTGCATTCTTTTTCTGTTAAAATTACATGCATTTTTATAGTGTCATAGGAAACAGTGCTGGCAGTTATGGTATATATTCACAAGTAACTATGAGAGCACTATGGTGTGTGTGTTGATATATGTGGGTGAAATAATGAGGCTATGATTTCCTCTGACTAACTGACTGAATTCATTACACATCACAGAGACCTACAGTGTGTTAACAGCACAACCGCCAATTTACTCATTAAACTTTCATGTACATGTAATCTAAATTTCTAATTCATGATGCTTGACTTGACCGAACAAATTAATTAGTCTGATAACAAGCCTTTTTAATTTTTGATATTTCGAATAATATGAATATGGCCTGAATGTGAAAAAGTTTGAAAACATAAAAATACCCATGAGACTTTAATATTCTTGACATTTAGCTGGCTTAATGTAATTTTTGCCACTGCCTTGTGATGGAAGAAAAAGGTATAATGACTAATAATATGTGAACTTTTAACGACAAAGCTGCAAGCTAATCCAAATATATCCAACTGCCATGTCAATGTCACTTCAGTGGTGCTAATTACTTAAAGCAGGGTTATAGTTAGTATCTTGAACATTGGGAAGTCACAAGACACAGCATGTGACCTTAACAGTACATTTCTAGAAGTTGAGAAATAATTCATAGCAATAGAATACCACTTTTTGACAAGTGTGAAGGTTTGGAATGAATTACTAACCACTAAATCATTAAAATTTGGTAGCATTTTTGCATTGTTTTCTCCCTGGATTAATCACTTTGCTTTAAATACAAATGTAAATAGTATTCTACCTTTTTTGCCTAACATGCATGCAAACATATTTTACTGGCATTCAAACATACAAACCATGTACATTTTTCCTAATGTGTAGATTCATTTTAATGCATAGACCCAATATTTTATAAAAGCCTCAATTTTTGTGCTGGTGCTGCAGTGTGTTATTTGAATTCAGC